TTTTTTTTCTTCTTTACCTTGAGTAGCTAGGATTACAGGTGTAAGCCATCAGCATCCAGCTTTATTTTATTTTATTTTGTTGGTCGTGGGGCTTGAACTCTGGGCCTGAGTGCTGTCCCTCAGCTCTTCAGCTCAAGGCTAGTGCTCTACCACTTGAGCTATAGCGTCACTTCCGGTTTTCTGGTGGTTTATTGGAGATTAGAGTTTCACGGACTTTCCTGCCTGGGATGGCTTTGAACCGAGATCCTCAGATCTCAGCCTCCTGAGTAGCTAGGATTACAGGCGTGAGCCACCAGCGCCCGGTCCAGCTTTATTTTATTTACTTATTTATATACTTACTTTTGTGCCTGTCCTGGGGCTCGAACTCTGGGCTTGGGCACTGTCCCTGTGCTCCTTTATTTTTATTTATTTATTTTTGTCGGTTGTGGGGCCTGAACTCTAGGCCTGGATTCTGTTCTTCAGCTCAAGGCTAGTACTCTACCACTTGAGTCACAGCACCACTTCCGGCTTTTTTCTTATGTGGTGCTGAGGAATCAAACCCAGGGCCTCATGCATGCAAGACAAGCACTCTACCACCACTAAGCCACATTCCCAGTCCCCCTGAGGTGTTTTGTTTTTTTTTTTTTTTTGCTCAAGGTTAGCTCCCTGCCACTTGAGCCACAGCTCCACTTTTGGCTCTTTATGTAGTTCATCTGCCTAGGCTGTCTTTGAACTATGATCCTCATATCTCAGCCTCCTGGGGAGTTAGAGTTATCAACATGAGCCACCAGAGCCCAGCTTTTTTTTTTTTTTTTTTTACGTTTTGACTTTCTGGCAGTTAGGTTTAAACTCAGGACCTTGGGCTTCCTTGGCTAATTGTCTTGGCTTACTTTCCCAGTTGATGCTTTACCAATTGAGCTACTCCTCCATCCATTTTCTTGCTGTTTCTTTTGCAGATGGAGTCTCCTGTACTTTTCTCCAAACCATGGTCCTCTACATCTCAGTCTTTTTGGCTTTTTTTGAGACACGTTCTTACTATATAACTCTGGCTAACCTAGAACTTACTATGTGTAGCCTGGATTGGCATTAAACTCATAATGCTCCTACCTCTATGTTTCTAGTGCTGACTCCTGTGATTATTTCATTCCTGGTTTTAATTGCTTTTTATTTTTCTTTTTTGCCATAGTTTAACTCAGCATAATTTATTTTTGAACCAACTGAAGCCTCTTAATATGGTTTTATCAAAATGACAGTTTAGGGGAAGAAAGTGTCCTCATACTAGGGACAGGCTGAAAGAGAAGAGAAAGGGAATAAAGAAGGGCAGAGACAATTGAGCTATCAGTGACATTTTGTTTCATTTTGTATTAAAAATGGTGAGCTTGCTGGGCACCAGTGGCTCATGCCTATAATCCTGGCTACTAGAGTCTGAGATCTAGGGATCTGCGGATCTGCGGATCTGCGGATCTGTGGATCATGGTTCAAAGCCAGCCTGGGCAGGAAAGTGAGATTCTTATCTTCAAATAATTACAGAAAAGGCTCAAGTGGTACAGTGCTGGCTTTGAGCAAAAGGAACCCAGCACTTGGGTCTTGAATTAAGCCCCAGGACCGGACAAAAAACCAAAACCAACTAGCCAACTCAACAAACAAAAAAACAGTGAGCTGGGCTCTGGTGGCTCATGCCTTTAATTCTATCTACTCAGCTGAGGTCTAAGCATCACGGTTCATAGCCAGCCTGGATAGGAAAGTTGATTAATAATCACATAAAAAAGCTCAAGTGGTAGGTACTAGATTTGAGCCCTTGGGACAGCACTCTGATCCACAGTTCAAGCTCCAGGACTAGCAACAAACAAACAAAAAACTGTGAGTGAGCTCTGGTGGCTCATCCCTTTAGTTCTAGCTACTTAAGAAGCTGAAGTCTAAAGATCAAGGTTTAGCGCAAGCCCTGATAGGAAAGTCTATGAGACTCTTACCTCCAGTCAACTAGCCAAAACAGAAGTGAAGCTGTGGTAGAATAGTAACTTGGAGTGGAGAAAGCTAACAGACAGTATCCAGGGCCTGAGTTCGAGCCCCAGGCATTGCACTTCACCAAATTGTCACTTAATATATTAATAACCACATGAAATGGTTGATATATTTAAAAACGTTTGGAAGCATTGATGATACAGTAAACATTTTGTTTTTACTTTCTTGGCAGTACTGAGATTTAAGGGCATTTTTTTTTTTTTTTGCCAGTCCTGGGGCTTGAACTCAGGGCCTGCGCACTGTCCCTGAGCTTCTTTTTGCTCAAGGCTAGTCCTCTACCACTTGAGCCACAGCGCCACTGCCAGCTTTTTCTGTGTATGTGGTGCTGAGGAATCGAACCCAGGGCTTCATGTGTACTAGGCGAGCATGCTACCACTAGGCCACCTTCCCAGGGATTTGAATTTGGTAGGCACTTTAGGACTTGTCATGTCTCCAACAATAAAACACTTCTTTAAAAAAATCATTATTATAAAGGTGATGCATAGAGAGGTTATGGTTTTATAGATCAGGTAATAAGTACATTTCTTTCTGAACATTTCCAACAAAACACTTCTTAAAGTTAATGGCTTAGTAAGAAGATTTCTGTTATACACACAAGCACATGTACACACATGCATGCACCTATATGCCAGATGTTGATAAATGTCATAATGAAAATTAGAGCTGGTTTGAGAGTTAAGTTTGTATTAAAAGTGTGCTGTTAGATGCATTAGGAGTGTCTATATAAAGTAGTGTTTTAAGTGGGTGCTGGTGGCTCATGCTGTAATCCTAGGTACTCAGGAGGCTGAGATCTGAGGATCATTGTTTGAAGGCAGCAAAGTCCATGAGACTTAATCTCTCCAGTTAACCACCAGAACGTGATGCTGTGACTCAGAGTGGTAGAACTCTAGCACTACCAAAAAAAAAAAAGTATTTTAGCAAAAATCTGAATGATGCAAGATAGCAGCAGTTCTAGTTTCCAGGGGAGCTTTGTGCCTATCTGTTCCTCTATTACATAAAAACAGCTAGTTAGATTTTTAATGTGTTTGGGTAGACTTTGACTTTAGGCTTCAGATATAGGCTGTGCAGTCATCTGGGAATTCTGGTGTTTTCTAAGTACAAAACAGGCATTGCCTTCCCACCTGCCTCCCTGCCTCCCTGCCTCCCTCCCTCCTACCCTACCCTACCCTACCCT